ACTCTGAAGAAACAGAGGGGACAGATTCCTCCCCAGAAAATATATGACCTGACAAAGCACTAGAGTTTGAGGCAGATTGGTGGGAGAAAAAAAAAAGCCCCTACCTCCAAAGGCAGCTAGCAGAGCAGCAGACAGATACCTGAAGCTCTGCATCTGGGGGTAAAGGAACAAGCAAAATGAGATAAATCAGTGGGAGAAAATCTCTGAAAGAGCTATGGAAAAGCTGTTGTAAATATTTTTCACTGACTGGCTAAGGCAAACATAAGCCCCAAGGAAAGTTGTTATCAGAAATGCCAGCCTCAATGCATGCTAATGAGGCAGGTGCAGTTCTGATTTGGGTCCAGTGTCAAATGAAGGAGAGACACCTGTTAAAGCCAGCTGAGCAGAGAATAGAAATCTCCCAATGTCCCATAGCTGAAATGTAAAATGCTTGTTCAAATCTCCCGTTGCAAAAGCAAAAACTTTGTTTAAACCTCCCGGGCAAGAATTTGTAAGCAAGTCTGGTAAAAAAAAAAAAAGAACTTAGAAGTTGACTCTCAGACCCAAAAAGAACGATAGGAAATGACTGATATAAGGGAAATGATATAAGGGACTGATATAAGGGACTGGTATTATTATGGACTGATATAAGGAAAATGCATTCTGGGAAAGGTAGTTTTTCCACTAAAGATAGCAACATTGCCCTGAAACACTTTTGTCAGCTTGAAAATACATTCATGGTAAACTTAAAATACAGCTTTTAAAAGAATAAGGAGGAAAATCGTCTAGAGTTTAAGTGTCAGTTCCAATGAAAAATTGAAAGGATATGGAACTAGGTGCTTCATGGTTTGGGGCTCCCTTGGAAAAATGCCTTATTTACCCTAATAGCTGTGCAAAGTTTTTATGGTAGTTGGATGACAAAAAGCTACTTATAAGAGGAGACAAGCCACCCCGCAGTTTATACACTGAATGTTGTCTTACATATGAAGAAACTTATGTTGAAATTTAAAACGTTCTTTGCTTTTTGAAGAAACTGCCTGCAATGAGTAATTTCTTTGCAAATCTAATAAGGATACAAGGAAACAGACATTCAAAAAGAAATGACTGTCCACTCTCCCCATATTTATTCAATATAGTACTAGAAGTTCTAGCTAGAGCAATAAGACAATAAAAGGAGATCAAAGGGATACAAATTGGCAAGGAAGAAGTCAAACTTTCACTCTTTGCAGATGATATGATAGTATACATAACTGACCCCCAAAACTCTACCAGGGAACTACTACAGCTGATAAACTCCTTCAGTAAAGTGGCAAGATAAAAGATCAACTCAAAAAAATCAGTAGCCCTCCTATACACAAATGATAAGAGGGCTGAGAAAGAAGTGAGAGAAACATCACCCTTTACAATAGCCACAAATAATATAAAATACCTTGGGATAA